GTCGTGTCTCCTAGAGAGGCTAGCACAATGGTCCTCTCTGTACATTGGCTGCTCTGAACAGGAATATCGTCCTCAGGGTTCGGTAGTCCAGGATGTGTTCCACTTTCGCTTCTTCCCCCTTCATTAGCTTCCGTGTGCTCTGATCAGACATACCCCTCTCCCTGAGCTGTAGCTTCAGTGCTGTCCTCTGAAGTAAATTTTTCTGTGGGGAGGGGTGCCTGTCCATGTAGTTGGGGTTGGGGCCAGCCCCTCAGACCTCCCTACTGGTTCCCTGCTTCATACAGGTATGTTGCATTCCCATCTTGGAGCACTGGGTTGAAGTCTGGTCCCTCTTTCCCTGTGGAGATACAAACAATACCCTCCCCTTGTGTGGGTTAATGCCCTGTTTCCCCGCTACCCATGTCTTTTTTTCCCATTTTCCCCCCACTCCTTTTTAGTTGGCTACCATATTTATCCCTGGATTTGGTCTGGCCCTTGCCATATTACCTGGACCTCACCCCAGGAATGTACGCATATAGTAGCTTTTTCCCTATGCCCCTTTTGCATTTTTTAAGATTGCCTCAGCGGATTGATGTTGTAATTGTCCTTTTGTGCTTGGCTTGCTTCACTTAGCATAATTTCCTCTAATTCTTCTCATGCAGCAATGCACTTCATGAGTTCATCACTGCTTTTTAGGGATACGTAATACTCCATTGTATGTATGTACCACAGTTTTTAAATCCATTCGTCTGTTGATGGAAATTTGAGTTGTTTCCAACCCCTTGAAATTGTGAACTGTGCTGCAATGAACATTGGAGCACAGATGTCTGGCTGTGGTTTGTTTCTTGACTTTTCTTGGTATAGGCCCCAGGGGATTGCTGGGTCACATGGTAGCTCAATTTCCAATTGTTTTAGATATCACCAAATCAATTTCCATAGTGGCTGCACATACCTGCAGTTCCACCAGCAGTGGATGAGAGTTCCTATCTCACCACATCCCCTCCAACACTTGTTGCTTTCTGATTTTCTGAATTGGGC